GAGGGAGGACGATGGTGAGGAGACCGTGACCATAACTGGGCCCTCTTTAAGTTGACTATTTTGAACACAGAATCCTTTGAGTGCTGCTGTTTATAGGAACAGGTTTGGTACGGGCTTAAGATTTGGTAGCTGAAGAAGAATGTGCCCAATTCAATTTAAGGTAGTAGTGGCTCCAGAGAAAAAGACTCTTACCTGTATATATGTAATTTTTTTTTAAATTCTGCAAGAGTATTAGACACATCCTTTGGGTAAAAATAATAGGACAAAAGAAGCAATTTTCTTTCATCTTTAAGGTAAAGGATAATAAAAGCAATCTCTTACAAGATAAAAACGTGTAATTTCTTTCTGGTACTAATTTTTCAAGACAGGTCTTTTCTGGCACCCAGAACACCCACACATCACCTCTCTCCCACCTACTCCCTGACTCTCCCAAACTTTTTCTTTGTTTAAACATGTTAATATCTCTTATTTTCCATTCATCACCAACTAGGGCCATTAAAACCAGGCTTTGCTAATTAAATAAGCAATTAGCTCTGAGGTCACATTGTGGGGATAATGGGGGTAGGGAGAGAAGAAGGAAAATTAGCTCACACATTATCTGAAATTTTATTTCACAGCACGCATACAAAGAAGCCCTGGATCCAGGGCACAAGAGATTACTCATGAAAGGAATTTACAGCGAGTGATAATGAGGGCGTTTCAGCAAGCCATCAATCTGCTGGCGGTTCCGGGAAGCCCCTGGACAGCCAGAACACAGGCCAGGCAGAATGGAGGCAAGGTGACATTTAGAGAGCATGGTTCACTGGAAAGAATGCTGTATGCAAATCTGAGAATATTATCTTGGGGGCAAAAAAGACTTGCAACCCTGAACACCCATGTGGTAGCTACGCATTCTTTCCCACCTTGTAGAGCTTTTTGACAACCTGGGGAAACTACAGAAAACTGGTGTTTGCTAGAATGGCAGACTCATCTGGGAGCAAAGCAGAGGGCTGTAGAGTATCTCTCCTAATCAAACTTTGTAAGAGTTTCAGCCACATTTCCTGTCTTGCCCATTTCACACTCTGCTGTTTTTTGTTTGTTTGTTTGTTTTCCCTGCTTACATCAGCAGTAAATAACTGTGGATGTTTTCTGAAATTAAAAAAAAAAAAAGTCAGATTAAGAGGAAAGGTAAGTACTGAAAAGGACTGAATATATCATTATTTCATCAAGGAAATGCCCACCTTTGTATTTCCTCCAGGGCAAAGGTCCCAAGAAGGACTCGAATATGTATATGAGAAAATCCATTGCAACAAGGAATTTGTATGTTTAATTTGCTTTTCTGTGCATGTCTGCATCACACAAGAACACAAATTCTTTATAGAAATGTCTTAGAGGGAAAATCTAAGGACCATGTGCATCTTCTGTGGTACTACTTGTTAGCGGTGACCCTCATCAGCACTCTAGCCATAGCTGTCTAGAGTTTTCTTATCTATAAACAGGCAAATGCACACATATTTATTATATTTTCATTTTACAAATGGAATCATCCTGGAAGACATTTTGTATTTATTTATGTATTTATTGCTGAATAGGAAAGCATGTCCATTTTTAATGTCAATAAATATCCATGCACATTTATCCCACATACCTATATTATAACTGTAGTATGAACATCCTATAATTTATTTGACCCCAGAATCAGAAAGAAAATCAGAAGCTGACTGAGATAAACTCCAATTCTAAACTTCCCTGGATATTCTACTCAAAACACACTTGGACATTCATTCAGGATGCACAGTCATGTATTTTGTGTCCTAATGTAATATCAGAGAAGGCTGCAGCAAACCTGGGAAGTAATGGAAATGTTAAAGGATTTACAAAGCAGGCTACATCCTGCAGTATTTCCCCAAATTCATTGGAACATGAGTTCACTATAGGACAGCAGAGAAGCTCTTGCCTGCTGTAATCCCTGCCAGTGTTATTTTGCACAGTAGAGTATCATAAATGTTTGTTGATTTAAAAGCAGAAATGAGAGGCATCCAGGATGCCAGGATGCATACGTGACCCTTCCATGAGCTGCAGAACACTGAATGTCAGTAGTAGCTCTTTCAGTGCGGCTGTAGTCGGGGTTAAAGCACAGTTCTTTGGAATGAAGACAAAGAGGAACAATGGAAAGTCCCAGATATTACCGGGAAGAAATTCCAAAAGGTACCCTAAAAAACAAGGAAAGCAACTCTTCCCTTCATACTAAAAAGGAAAAAAGAAAAAAAAAATTGAATAGAAGGTGAGAGCTGGTCACAGTTAAGAGAACAAGCCACAGTTAAGGGTATCATAAGGTCTGAGTATTAAATATGATCAAGTTCCAAGCTTCCAAATGCTAATTGATATTAGCTTCACCTTATGGACAAAGAAATTTACCTAGCTAGGGTCTACAGAGCTTTTATAATCAGTGAAAAGAAGATATGATATTTGAAGGTGAAGATTATAATTTGTATCTCAGAAATGGGTAGGCAGGTCTGTGTGTGTGTGTGTGTGTGTGTGTGTGTGTGACTTTGGAGAGTGAACGACAGCCAGTACTGTTGATGAAACCAGTTTAAAAGTTTTAAAGTCCCTGGGCCAGGTAGAAAGAGCCTAACCTTCAGTTTTCTTGACAAGCATCATGCCCACATTTTTTTTTCTCTGTAACAGCCTTTCCTTTCTTTCTTTCTTTTTTGACATCTATAATCTAACAGGATTCTCACTTCCCAAGAAATCAGTAGCAGGACTCCAGCTGATTTTCAAATCATCTTTTTATTGTGACATTTCTGCTAACCGTTCATTTTACAAAATAGCTCCTGTATTATTTTGGGTACATTGGAATATTCCTCAATGCATTCATACTACGAATGGATTTCAGATCTTTTTCACCGCAAATGACAATGGCAAAAGCCAGTCACTACCCGTGATTCAAAGTTTAAAATGCTGCTAAAGTTGCTGATCCAATCCGTGCCCATTCCTGCCTTCTGCTTGGTGAAAAGCACCTGCTCCTATGTCAAGTTCCTCTGTTAGAAATGTTTGCTGTATGGAATCCTCACTTAGCTGGTGGGCCTTTGCCATAGAAACCATCTTAGCAACTGCGATGAATGCCAGCAGGAAGATGAGCAAACATTTGAAAGGAGAGAAGCACCTCAGCAAAACACCCCGAGTCCTGAGAGGAACAACTTCTGTGTGTGAAACACTTGGGAAACAAGTGCCAGTTACATAAACAGGAGCAGGATGAATCAGATATTCTCCCAGCCTTTGCTGTTGTGCTTAATTTTCAGCAGAGAACTCCAGACCCAGGATGCCAGTCTAAAGATGCTAACCCCAAGCTGTAACTGTGTAGCAGCTGGAATTACAATTAGGGAAACTCAAGAGTCTCTTCCCACCCAGCCCCGCCAGCAACAGCCCTCTTAGCCCCACTCAGTTTGGGGACAATCCTTTCTTTTTTTCAACAACTAATTTTATTTTCGTTTATATAGTTAAAGTGCCCAAAGTGGTCCTTAGACATGCACAGCAAAGTGGTTACTGTACTGAGCACCACCCCTTCATTACCAGGCATTCTTTGGGGCAGAGGATGCCACAAAAAATGGGCCAGGTAAGATCCCTGGGTCAGACCCTGTTCTTGTGCTACCTGAGGCTGGACCAAAAGCTACAGCTACTCTCATGCTCCCTCAAAGAGATTCCAACAAGTGCCAGCGTTACCCTGAAGGTCTTGTACTGAGTTCACAACCCACCTGGTCTGATTCCTTATAAACCTGGTTCTATCTCCCTAGTCATTGCTTTTTAGATTGCTGGCCAAACACCCAAGACAGGGTGCTTAACTCTACCTTCTTCCCTTTTCCTCACCAGTGCTTATCTTTAGATAAAGAGATGGAGTTTGCGGAGGTATATTTTACATTCAGTAAAATTCACTTATCTCATGAACTTTTGGGGTTTGACAAATGCATGCAGTACACCACCGTCACCAGAAGAAAGATGATGTTTTCAACAGACTCCCAAATTTCCTCATGCTTCTTTTATAGTCAACCCTACCCCCAGCCTCTGACAACCATTGATCTGCTTTATTCCCCCACAGTTCTGTCTTTTCCAGAACATAATATAAATGGAATCATGTGGTCTGTAAACTTTTGAGTCTGGCTTCTTTCACTTAGCACGTGCCTTTGCAGGTCTCCGTGTGTTTGCATACCAGGTCTTGGTCTGGCCACACAGTACTCTATCGTGTGTGTGCACCACTAGCAGATTTCTGTGAAGACACCAAACAACATATGGATTGTTCTAGCTTTGGGCAGTTATGAGTGATGTTTCTATAAACATTACTGCTCAGGTCGTGTGAATCTATGGTTTCATTTTTCTTAGGCATAGGATCTCCAGGTCACATGGGCAATGTTATAAGACTAATGTAGTTTTAATTGGTAAAGCTACAAAGTGCAGCTTGGTGCCATAGAATGAAGATTAAACTGGTATCCAAAAACCTTGGTCCAAGCTGCACATTAAAAACTAATAATTTCTATGTCTTTGGATAAGTTGTTATTTTTTAAACTTATTTTCCTAAAGAGCAAGGGTTATCATCACTTATAGGCATGTGTCACTATGGCATAAACTAATTATGGGAGATGTTTATAAAATGAAAGCTCTTGCATTTCATCAGCAACTATTATGTCACATTATTACCTGTGATTGTGAATCTCTTACAAATGAGAGGTCAGATCCACCCTAGGATGCATGCAGCACATGAATGGCACAAAACCAAAGCCACAGGCATCTTCAGCCACCCATCTGTACCCTTTGTCACTTTAGAATACAAAACTCAAGAGGGGTACTGTCCAACACAGTAAATACCAGTCACATTGTCTGTTTCAATTTAAATTAACTAAAATTATCTCACTCTCCCCAACAAATTTTTGCAATTAAAGTAATAATTATTCATAAAAATACATTAGACCCAGTTAAAGACTCACTTCCTCGGTTACACTCACCTTATTTCAGTTGCACAATAGGCATGCATGGCTAGCCACCCCTTTCTTGAACATTACAGAGTAGAAGACGTTTCCTTCATTGCAGATAGTCGTAGACAATGCTGATCAAAAGGGCAGTTACTTTGATCTTGGATTTTCTCAGCAGAAAAAAAAATCTAGAAACCATTTATAGCTCAAAATTAAAAGCTTGCAATGATGACTATTACCTATTTTGATCTTGCAAGTCTTAATCAGCCCTATAAACCCACATTGCCAGGATTCAGTAGCTCATAAAATTAAACCACAAACATCTACCCATGAATAATGAAATTGTTCTCCACAACTCTGGCCTGCTCCAGTATTGATCCAATCTTGTCTGAATCTTAATCTTAACTCGCTCATTTATTATCTTGTTCTTGCTCCTTTGGGCTTAACATTTGCATTTAATCTCTTTGGTTTCAATTTTGGATTCCTTTCCTGCTTTTCTGGAGATTCCACCCCAAAAGAGCACAGCGACTATTAATCAGTCTCTCTGAACCTAATTGAATTGATGGGGTGACCTCTCCTCTTCAGCCTGACCTACCTGACCCTCCACAGTTCAGACGAAACACACAGATGAGTCAAGGGGGCAGCAGCTGGTCAGGTTATGCCAAGGTTGTTGACCTTCAACTGGGTCATGAATGCCAAGGTCTTCGGGAGCCTGGCAAGCAACATAGGTGACTGAATCAGAGCGAGAGCAGCAGTAGGCAGTGGAGGAGGTAGGCAGACTGCAAGCATATGCCCCATCATGGAAAGCTATTCAAATACAAATAAACACTCTGCAGGCAATCAGAGGCCCAGAAATTGGAAAAGAAGAAGTAACACTATCTCTGTTTTGCAGATGATGAAATAGTGTCCTGGAAAAAACCCAAGAGAATCAGTGCTAAAACTAATAAAAACAGTAAAGAATTTTGTAAGCTGAAGAGACATAAAACAAGCTTACAAAATTAATAACCTCCATATAGATAAACAATAACCAGCCAGAATGTATAACAGAAGAACAGGCCTGATTTACAATTACAAAAAAGAGAAAGTGAACAAGATATTAGAAAACACAAATGAGGAAGGCTTTAAGACAGAAAGCAAAGTTAAATTGAAACAAATGGAGAGACATCAGCATTCTGAAGCAGAACAACTCAAGATCAGAAGCCTATGTATGTATGTACATGTGTGTGTGTATATATATATATATTATAGATGTCATATATATTTGATAAGATCTTAATTGAAAAGTTTTTCTTGAGCTGAATAATTTTTCATACATTTTAACTATTCAAAAACATCTAGGAACACCCTAAAACAGAACAATGAAAGCAGAAAAGTTCTGCCAGCTATACCGCACATAGTACACAGGTAGTATACAGGTCTACTGTATACAGGTACACAGTACACAGGTACACAGAACACAGGTACACGGTACACAGGTACACAGTACACAGGTACACAGAACACAGGTACACAGTACACAGGTACACAGAACACAGGTACACGGTACACAGGTACACAGTACACAGGTACACAGAACACAGGTACACAGAACACAGGTACACGGTACACAGGTACACGGTACACAGGTACACAGAACACAGGTACACGGTACACAGGTACACGGTGCACAGGTACACAGAACACAGACCACATAATTAAAGCAGAGTAGTCCTGGGGCCCAACTAAATGGAGAGAATGTCCAAAATAGGGAAAAAGGTAAATTCAACTATATATATTTAAAATAAATCTTTTTGCCTGAAAATAATATTTCTAGAAAAGCAGAAGGGCAGATTACAAACTTAATTTATATATAAATCTTTAAAAATGAGAAAAAAAGAAGAAAATAAATGCCAATAGCTTGATATAAAAAATGTAAAAAAAACAGGAACCTCCGTAGCCACTGAACATTTTACATTCTCACCAACCGTGTGCGAGGGTTCCAACTTCAAAATATTTAAAATAGAATTACCATAAGATGCAGCAATGCCAATTCTAGGCTATACACCCAAAAGAAACGAAGATACCCGCACTTCCACACTCCTACAGCATCATTCACAACAGGGAAGCGATCCGAGCACGTATCCATGGGTGGACGGGTCCAGAAAACGTGGTCTGTACCTACAATGAAAAATTATTCAGCCTTCATTAAAAACAAGGAAGTCCTGCTGCTGCAGTTTGATCTGGAATGTCTCCCAAAGCCTCATCTGTGGAAGGTCTGGCCCCCAGGGAAGCACTGTTCCTAGCTGAGTCTCTTGGGAAGGGATGAGCTTCTCGTCTCATTGATGGTTTAATTGATTGATGGGCTCATAATTGAAATAGACTATTGAAAGGTGATAGAAATTGTAGGTCCTGGGTGAAAGAAGTAGAAGTAGGTCACTGAATGCATGCCCCAGAAGTAGACATCTTGTCCTGGCTGCCAGAGGCTGAGAAACTTCCCTCTGCCACACCTAAAAGAAGTGAAGCCACCTATCCATGGATTGAAAACTCTGAAACCATGATCCAAAATAATTTTTCCTCCTTTATGTTGACTTTATCAGGTATTTTGTCATAGAGGCAGAAAGCTGCCATTTTCAACAACATGGATAAGCTGGGAGGACATCCACCACACATTCCCACCATGAAATGTTGCCTTGCCCTAGCCCCCAAAGCAAAGGAACCAAGTGAGAGTAAACTGGAAACTCCAGAACTGTGAGTCAAAATAAACCTTTTCTCTTTATAAGTTTATTATCTTTGGTGTTTTGTTGTAGTGACATAAAGCTGGCTAACACATAGTTCAGTTAATTGAATAAATCATTGTATGTCCATGGAGTATATTACATCTGTAAAAAAAAAAAAAAAAAGAAAATGTGAGGAAGAGCTTTATGAAAGAAATGAACAGAGCTTTGTTTCTGGAGTGAACGACAATATATATTATAAAACTTAAAGGGAAGGGTAAGATACAAAATAGTATAATGGCATAATATACTCTTTTGTATATATTTTATAAAACTAATAAAGCAAATGAAAATGGTTACCTGCAGGGTGGTCTGGGAACACGGTGGGGGAAATGCAGAGGGAAATGAGAATTCTATGATGGACCTTTGTATAGTCTTTTGAATCCCATCTCTTACATACTCAAAAAGAATCAAAAAGGATGCAAAAGTTCATGGTAGACAGACACGAGATTTCAGCACAGAATGCCCCCACCTGCTGCAGCCACCGACCCATGCGGTTGGCCACGGACCTGAGGACCTGATTGGCTTTCTAATGTTCCTTCCCAGGCTGTGAATAGAAACTATGTGCCGAGATTTAAAATTAGGTTAAGCTGATTGCATTCACCTTCATAAAGACTAAAGCCAGGTGCATTATAATTAGCTGTTCGATCCCGTTACCTTCACCCGGCGGGGAGAGGTGTTAGTCATAAGTTGTTGAGGCTGGCCTTTCATTTTTCTCCCAAAGTGATTTCAATCGCAGACCAAATTCAAAAACTTATTATTCCGTTGTTAAGATTTCAGGAAACAAGGCCAGCTTGATCCTCGTTTCTATCATCTGACTCACTCACCAAGCCCCTGAGGCAGCGCAGCGAACATATTGGTGTCAGCAATTATGGGCTGACTCACCAGAGAGCGTGCACGATTAACCTGTCCACCACCTACCTCTCCACCAGCCACCCGTCCTCGGTAGGACCATCTGCACCACACTCACGGGGTAGGAGCCCGACCAAGCCTTCATGCATTTCCGAGCCTTTCTGCCCAGAAGCCAGGCCAGAAGCAATGCACAGCCCCATAATGCTTTGCAGCAACCTGAACAAGCTCAAAACATCCCCCTCCGTTGAGCAGAGCATTTCTGAGTCCTCTGCTCTTGCCACGCTAAGGCTCACAGCAGCTCCCTATACCAATTTTGTTTGAAGATGGGTCTTGCTAGCTGGCTTGTTGAGTGGCCATAGGAAAATCATTTAATCTAAGTTTCAATATTCTTATTTGTAAAACACCCGAGTGACAATTTTTTGTAAGAATGAATCAATTAATTTGCAGAGCTGGGAAGCGAACTCAGGACCTCCAGCATGCTAGGCAAGCACTGGGTCACTGTTTGGCAAGAATTTAAATGAGATGCTTTGTCCCAATGTTGCAGATAAGCATTCTCTTATCATTGTTCCTCTGCTGAGAAAAGTTAGCTCTTCATTTTATTACTGATCAAATGTTCTCCCTAAGCACCCAACTCCCACCCAACATTAGTGACTGGGAAAAGAAACACCCCAAACAACCAAACACTAACCTTTGCCACCCAAGAGCGCTCAGTTCCTTCCACCAGAAGAGTCTCTTTGGGGTAACACCGGGCAGTGTATGAAAAAAAAAAAAAAAAAAAAAAAAAAACTCAGACTGTGAGATCCTCTTCCATAAGCCAGTTACTAGGGAGACTCGCAGTGACAGGGACAAGAGAAATGCAGGTGCTGCCTCTGGTCTTCCCTGATCCCTACAGCTCCATAGTTGGGCCAGTCTCACCTAGGCACACCTCCACAGAGGCACAAACTCTAGGGCCATTCTACTACTGCCCTCGGCTCAATCTGCAGTGACACATTTCTTTGGCTCAGTCAAGTAGGGTATGGCCAAACCTGCTAGCTCCTGGGTGGCACTTAGCTCCAGCGGGGCACACAGGGAACCTAGACATTCCTACCAGCCCAGGTTTGTGGCAAAAAAAGAGCACTGCTAAGAGCTATTGCCAATAACACTCCATGTTTGTCCAAGGAAGAAATCTTCTTCCTCAAGCTTTTACAAATTGGGTCAGATAATTTTAAAAAATCTATATGTTTACAGGTCAGTTGGATTTCTTTTTATTGATACTAAAGGTAAGCAGAAGGTTCATGTTTGTCTTGTGAGCACAGGGAATGATTACTGGCTTAAATATACACAGAGCCTTTATCTCTATTTCTATACCACTAATGGTCCTATATCCTGACTTCATATGTCAGTGAAGGAGAAGTATATGTGAAAATCTCCCAGTGGAAAAACATCTGCAACACACACTAATTTGTTAATTTATTTGTGTGGAACCTATTATATGCCTGGGATATATAAATAAAATATAGTCCCTGTGTTTCCTGGACATAAGAGAAAGAGTTTATTCTTTAATATACAAAGAGTTTTTACAAATGAATAAATGAAAATCAAATGGCACAAAATTTGACCATGGTTATACAAAGATAGATCTCATACACACACACACACACACACACACACACACACACACGAGGTCTATCAGCATTAAAAAAAATTCCAATCCACTCATAATCAGTGAAATGCAAATTAAATTCATAGGGGCTGTAGGCTGTAGCTCAGTGGCAGAACACTTGCCTAACCTGTGTGAGACACTGGTTCGATCCTCAGCAGCACATAAAAAATAAATTAATAAGCAAAGATATTGTGTGTCTCTCTACAAGTTAAAAAAATTTTTTTAAAAAATAAATTCTTAAGATACCATGTAACAGACTGCTTCTGTGTAAGTATTAGCTGAAGCATGAAAACACTCAATTTAAATGTTAAAATTGATAATTAAATGATCAAGACAGTCAACTTTTAAACCTCTCATCCAGAATAAGGAAGGGGAAAAAGTTAGAACTGGAAATTGAGGGAGGATTTCAGAAGGATATATCTGAAGGCTGTTGGTTTGCTGAACCCTTGATGAAAGGGGATCCACCCTAGTGTGTCCCCTGGAGTCTAGAGAGAGGAGTTCCAGTGACATTGCTCAGAGCAGTTGTCCTGTCCCTTTAGTGGGGGACATAGACAACAGGTGTCTAACTCCAGTCTAGAACCCCCTACATATTTGCTCATCAGTGGATTTACTGAGCACCTACTTTGCGCTACTTTCACAGTTGCCCACACAGCCAGGGATAAACAGTCACCAAGGAAGTGGGGCACCATGTGGGAGAACTTACCATTCCATGGGGACAGAACAGCTTGTCTGATCAGCTTTCCAATTCACTTTAATGTTCTGATCATTGGTGAAGATTAGATGCATGGGGGTGTTTTGAGTGAACTGCAACAAATCTACGCAAGTGAGGCAGAAATTTACTCACCCCCAGAGCAACCAGCTTCCGAAACTCCTGTAAACACAAAGCTTCTAACTGTTCATTTTTGTTTTGTTTCTCATTTCTGCAAATGACACACCCTCAACCCATCCTTTTCTATTCCAAATCTTGTTCCTCAGATTGCTTTCAAGAAAAAGAGAGCTCCTCACTGATGGAGAATCATTCTTAAAAGGTTAAAATAAAACACTCGGTAGAACATCCCCATCGAGCCTGGCTTCAAATAATAAACAATTTTAATAAAACTTTCTCTCTGGAGCCTGATTTCCTCTGGGAAGCAATCCTTTAACTCATACTCTGCCTATTGCCTCTGTGTCAGCACATAGGGAACTCTGAAGGACCAATTCAGTGACACTTGATGAAAGGACAGCTTGCTCAGAGCTGGACATGCCGATGGCACTGCTTCAAGGTTGCCTCCAGCTCAGGCCTCCTTGGGATGTGACAGAAGGGACTGCAGGATGAGATTGAGCCTCAGAGATGTGCAACACCCCTCTGCCCCTGGGATCCTGCGAATTTCTTCTCCCCCTCCACTACCCTCTTGGGATCAGCACCACACAGGTCCTCTCTCTCTCACATCCGTCCTCAGGCAGGTTGTGGACTCTGATCCACCAGCTCAGAGGTGTGCTGTGAAAGTTTAACCACCACCTCTGGGGCCTGGAAGCCCTGATTGGTGACCTTCACTGACGACCGTGGTATAAATTCTCCCACCACGGTCAGTTTCAGACTCTCAGCCTGCACAGGCTGAGTGCAGAGCAGGAAAGAGGTGGCCCTGCTGGACTCCCTGGGAACCACTGCCAGGCCCACTTGCACCCCTTTCTTCCCTCCCTTCTGGACCGCCCGCTCTGATTGCTTTTTCTGCAGGAGAGATCTCTCCCTGCTGATTTGGACTGTGCCTCCCCTCCGGTTGCCTTTGCCTGGCTCCCCTGGCCACCTGGAATCCCTTTGTTTCCTTTCCCCCAATTTCCTTTAGACATCACGGCGACCTCTGCTACATTTCATTTTTCTTTAACTGCCTGTCCTCCTTGCTCAGGTAGTTTCCATTGTTCCTTTGAGCACTGTAGCTATAGCTGATTTTTTTTCCCCATTTATCCTTCATGTTGGACCCCTAAGGATGGCACCGTTGTTGCTGAGCCCCTTTCCAGTGGCTGGATTGGGGACAGCTGCCACAGATAAGCCCACCCAGCAGCCAGTGACCTTTCTCACCCTTTTTTCTTCTTTTTGCATCAAGCTCTTTTGTGAGATTATTCTTCACATCTGAACATCCTCCCGGGCTTTGGGTTAGACACACACAGCACGCTTCAAATGTCCTGGGAGAGGGACCCTCTGCCTTCTCCATGCAGCCAGGAGTGCACGCTGCATCGACGGTGTGCAGTGAGGCTCTGAAGAAGCAGTTGCTGCCTGTAATAGTTCAAATGAAGCCATTAGCCCTGCTGCTGGGCTTCATGGCTTTACAGGTAGGAAGAGTAAGTGGGGAGAGTTGGGAATTCTTCCTGATCCCTGGGGATCTGAAACACAAAAATAACAAAAAACTGGGGGTTGGGGGTGCTGATTCCCTCATTTCAGATGATCCTCATCTTATTATGGAAAAAATTTTTTAACAAAGAAAAAGGTTTTCAGAGTCACCAAAGGAAGGAAGTGTTTTTACCAAAGAATATTAACTTTCTTATTCTCAAAGAAGTTTTCCATGCCCATCTGATATTTCCCCTAGTACCTCCTGACTCTCTCCACTTCTGAAGCCCCAGATTAACCTCTTTTACCACATAATAGCTAGTTGCAAATGCCAGGAAGAAGAGTCTAGGAGGTGAGGGAAAAAATGCTTCCAGTATAGCTGATATGCTCTCTGATAATTCCCTACATGCAAACAATTTTTGTTTGCTTATCTTTAATAACTTTTTATTTTAATTTAATTTCAAATACACAAAAACCTTATACAAATGGTAAAAAGAACACCTGTATATGCTGAATCAAATCATTCACTGCTTATATTTTTGTGCATTTTGTTTTGCTTTGTGTGTTTCTTTCCTTGTTTGATTGGATATTTCTTTCTAAATAACGTAGCCTTAAGCTGTTGCTATAGTTTGAACATGGGTAGTATCCCCAGAGATCTGGATGGAAGAGCTTGGATCCCAAGATGGTGGTATTGGGAGGTGATATGGACCTTTAAGAGGCGGGGCCTAGTGAGAGGTGTGTAGGTCTTTGGGGGTGTGCCATGTAAGGGGATTGTGGGACCTCGGTCTCTTTTGCACTTCATCTCTCTGCTTCCTGACTCATTATGCAGGCAGACTGCTCTGTCAGAGCCCCAAACCCAAGGGGTCACCCACTCTGATCTTGGACTTGAACCTCCAGAACCATGAGTCAAAGCCCTCGTTAAGTCATAAGTGACCTTCGTCAGGTATTTCATTATAGTGATGGAAAGGTGACTAATACAGCTGTCCTCATTCCCTAATTTGGGAATTGGATGTTCTTCTTAATGATTAGAAAAGAGGTAAAGAGAGGCCTGATCAAGCAATAATAGGCACTTCTCAATTCAGAACCCAGATCTGTAAAGGGAACATGACCTCTGAAGAAATGGAGGAGGGGTGACAGGAGAAGCATGGAAAGAAGAAAAGAAACCCATTGGACAACACTGAAAGTGAGAGACTCCTCCAAAGGAGTGAGAATGAGGCCATCGGGAAAAGCTAAG